TCGAACTAAAGACATAATGACACTTTGCAACGATATTTCTTCTGCAAATAGATTTAGGAGTGCTTGTAAGGACTCTTCTTTCCAGGGAGCTCGTTCTGTACCCGGGAAGTCAGCTGTTACGAGTTCACATTCACTGGACTCATTTACTGCCTTTCTTGTACACAGCTCTTTATCGTTTTCCTCACAGTTTCTCATAACGCCATGAAGCTTTTTAGATGCTTTCACAGATAACTTGTTCTTCTCGGAAAGTCTATCGTACTTCTCGGCGGTGCATTCTCGATGCGCCATTAGATCAACCAGGTTGCTGGAAATTTCCTTATGGCGGGCATGACATTGAGACATGGCGCTTTTTCGGTAGAGAGTGTGGTGGACTGGTCCCTTGATCCCGGCTTTCTTGAAAATGGAGCTAAGAGCCTCGGTCATTTGATTTGACTCTATTTGATTTCCTAACCATGATAAAAACAACGCCTGTTTCACATCGGACAGTGCAACAGGAAGTCTAGGTCTCATTTGCTTTATGAAAACATTGATGTAGCTGTACAAGAGCTTTGTTAGTACCGCTCGAGCTGGACCATGGCTATCCACGGTTTTGTGTTTAAGAATTCGAACAACATATCTTTCGTCTTCAACTCTAGCCCTCTGAAACTCTTCTACGGTCATAGAGGAAACCACTCCGGCATGATTCGCATTATCAATCATCATGTGCGCTATGAGGTAATCCCTGACAAGGGTATACTTCGATGGATTCATTTCAACTACTGTATTACCGCCAAGTTCGCCTAAGATGAAGACTGCATTACGCGAGGCCTGGCTTGCGTCAAACTCCTTTGTCTTCTCTGGAGTTATCAGAAGGCTGACATGTTCTTCATGTTTCTCCCATCTTCGTCGCATTGTTTCTTTAGTATATGAATAAGACCACCTTTTCAATTTTTCACGTAAGACGATCACATCTTCGGTGTTGAATATAACGTCATTTGGTCAGTCTCCTAGCACGTAGGAACAATAATGCTGCAGACTCGTAAGGTATTACGTTATTGTGGCTGGGGAATATTCTCAACTTCTCATCAGCATGTTCACCAAGAAAAACGTTTCTTATCTTTATGGCATCCAGCAACGATTCAAGTCGACTTCCTTCATCCACAATTGCCAGGATATTTTTCACTTGCGCAACATGCTGTTTAGCCGTTTTTGTATCTTTCCTTTCACCATCAGGAGATACCAGCCACTTTTGAAACCGGTTTAATACCTCGGCAGCCAGAGTTTTAGTTCCTATGTCATTTTCTTACTAGATTCTTCATGGTTGTCTTCTGTCAAATGTCCATCTTTGCCTTCCTTTACCCATTCTTCATCTTCATCATCTGTATTTCCCTTTCCTTCCTCCAGACTTGAAAAGCGGCGTGCCTGTTCACTTGTCCAGTAATGCCTCAAATTAAAGTATTTTTCTCTGCACTGAAAGAATAAAAATCAAAACATTTATTTTTATATAAATATAACCAAAATAGAAATCCTCTCCAGTATACCACGAATAACACTTTCTTGACAACAATCCCATATTCCTGACTTAACTTCGTAATCGATGGCCAATGAGTAATTTATGGGTAACCAAGTGTCTTCCACACCAAGGATACCCACCAACACAAGAAGGCTTTTTATCTTTTAAGCACATTTATGGCTTAGCCTCTGAAATTTTGAAGGTGCAAATTTTTCCACGGGTGGGATAAAAGGGCAGTACTCTTGCCCAACCCATTGGAACAGTATAGCGAGTTATATGGAACATTTAGTGGTAAGTTACATAGTACAGTTGAAAATACATTACATAGTAGTCCAAAATTTGTTGTTTTTAGCTATAATTTAGCCTCTGAATACCGCTATCCCCTTTTGTTAGAATATTGGTCAAACACAAGAGACCCAGTTTCTTTTCACACTTTGCCCTCAGACTCAATGATTAAGTGAAAATAAAGGGCCTGGGACAGACTGGTAAATTACCTCCGCATGTAAATTTCCATAGCCTGTTGTAAACTTAATGGACACAAAATGAAAATTGGTGGAGCAATGGTAATCAGATTTGGAGGCAGTAACTTAAAATCTCTGATTATACCAGGCTAATTAATCAATTAACCATAAAAACAATAACCGTCAAATCCATGAAATAAAAATAAGTGTGGTTTAATTGATATTCGCAGATATCAGCTATGACTCATCCAGATTATTTGGTAAAACACTTAATTTAGACCCTTTTTAGAATACAATTGCATCAGCATTGATATGTGTCCTGATTTACCAAAACATAGCCAAATTACGGAGCCCAGTTAGTACCATCTCGTATTTCTCATCAACCTTTTTTTCACGACTTTAACTTTCCAGCACGACTTCAACTTGTTTCTACAACTTCAACATTGTTTTCACGACTTCAACTTTTTTTCACGACCTCAACTTGATTGTCTTTGGGGGGATATAGAGTGCGGCAAATACCAACTCTTATTATCCAACTGCACAAAGTAGAGCACAAATAACGCGCGAATAGAGTACAAATATCCTGAGATATTGTGCGGTTATTTGGACAGTTCGTTATTTTGTATTGTAAAAAACCTGTTTAAGCAGTCGGCTGCGCGCGCTACGTTTCTCTAACCGCTTTGCTTTTCCTGCCTTATGAGAAATGAGCAGAAAGACAGCAGAGAAAAAGCAGTTGGATAATAAATAACTTATTAGACGTTTTGGTGTGTAGTATATCTGAGTATTTTTACTGCACAACTCTTAAAAATACTCAGCAATACTACACGCCAAAACGTCTAATAAGATGTGTGTATGTGCGTCAGCAGAGGAGGTTTTGGGGAAGCCATTTCTCTCGTTAATAAATGAAAAACAGCCACACCATTTCACCAGAATACGCCGGTTTGCATCAAACAAACCTTCGAGTGCAGCTGTTTGTCTGTGTCACATAATCGTATCAATTACGTATAATCTTCTTCATCATTAGATGTTAAATGACTCATCTAGTCACACATGGCACATGTCTGTGATTATGGCAATTTCTTTCTAATAAAGAGCCTTCACTTAACAGTCTGCTACAAAGTCTTGTTTACGATCAAATGCAAGAAAAATCGTCAAATAGATAAAAAGACAGCTAAACTCAAGAATTGTCGCTTAGAAAATATGGGATGCTGCAAATATCAGCTCATATTTGTGACCGCGGAGAACATTTTTTCGAAGCCATTTCATTTCTGGCTGAAACAACTGATTCAGCGTTTCATTCATTGTGATTATTTTTGTAGGAAGAAAGCGCTTCCGGTTTTTGATGCAACTCATTTTGATTGGTAAATTATTTTGGTGGCTTTGTCAAAAAGAATGTGTAAAACAAAATAACAGTTATGAGAAAGAGTAGCTACATTGATGCACATGAGATAGAGGAAACTTTGTGTAATAGTGTTTTTACAGGTACCGGCTTCAGACATTCAGGCTTCAAGATTACCGGAAGTAAAGTTTTAACTCAGTGTCGTAGCCTTTACAGTCCAGCTCGGATGGAACTTGAATTTCAGACTAAATTAGCACTGAACACCTTTCGCGCAGCTAGCCCTTGAATTTTATCTCATTCTAAATGAACTACTTCTGCTTTCCATTTGTTCTTTCCTTCTTTTTTTCATTCTGTTTGACGGGAACTGGGTTCGGCTGAATACATTTGGCATCTCCGTTTTTTTACGTGAGACTCAGTAGCTTGAAACACAAGCTTCTTTCGTTTGCGCTCAATAAGCGACTATCTAAGCAATCTGATGTGCCTCTGTAATTGTAAGTTGATTCGCTGCCATGGAAGTTGAGATTAAACAATTAACAATTGGTTCATACGTCAGCGTGCGTTCATCGAAATATAAAGCACGCGGGAAGTTTGAAGAGCACGAAAGATGCGTAAGAGTTGCTCGAGGCATAGCCTCGAGCAACTCTAGCTTCTTGAGTATCATATCTCGATGAACGCACGCTGACGTATGAACCAATTGTTTTATAAAATTTTCAACCCGATGGTTTGCGAAACGGGATAACACCGGCCGTGCTCGTTCTTTGTTTTCTTTTTCTTTTCGTTCTTTTTGGGGAGTTAAAACTCCATTCCCAAAGAAAAAGTAGACAGTTCTTCCTCATCAGCTGGCTCAAAACTTTCCATGTTTAGCTTAAATTGCCGCCGAAGTCTTAACCAGTTTTTTAATAGTAAAATCCCAAAGTAAAAAATCGCCGAGAAATTTTTTTCTCGAGGGATTTGTTTGCTGACGTCACGAGCGTGCGCAATAGGAATATGAAGCACGCCCACACTCTTGAATTTGATTAGAGAAATTTACTAGCTATGTTATAAGTTTTCTTTTATTCAGAGAAACTCCCAGTTAATCATTGAGTCCCAGCACTTTCTTCGAACGAATATGCCAACTTGCATCGATTGTAATCAAAGTATGTGTTTACTGAATTTGATGCTTTTGGATAAATTTTTGCCTTTTTTATCCTGATTTCTAGTGATCTCAGTATTGTGTCAGTATCTTTACATGTGTTCTTCTCTGTTTTGTTATTATTTTGACGACGACCGGGTTTGGCTGAATACATTTCCATCTCCTTCTCTTAAGCGAGACTTAGAAGTTTAAAACACATGCTTCTTTTGTTGGCGCCCAGTGAGCGACTCTCCAAGCAATCAGATGTAGCTTTGAAGGTGTAAAGTTGATCCGTTGCCATGGAGGTTGAGATCTAACGCCGTAAATTACATTTAAATGAAAGTAATTCACTATCCTCGAGACATTTGAAGTGGTCAGCTGTCGTCTAAATTATAAGCTGCCGACAGAATTGTTTGTTACTTGAATATTTTCGGAGGATTAGTCTTAGAGGAATTTACAGATCAACGTCTCGGTGGCTACTTTTTCTCTTCTGAATTTTGGGGGTTTTCTTTAAAAAAAATCTGCGCTAAGAAAGGTTTGAAAATGACCAGACCTATTGGTCTTTCAATATGTTATATTATATGTAATATCAATATGATATTAATATAAAAGGTGAATGCAATTTTTCCTTACAAGCAGCATTTTCTTTGAAAAATTTACCCACTTATGGGACGTTTTTGTCATGATAATAAGTCGCCTCGAGAGAGGACACCCTTTACGCGACTGATTGCAAACAGCCATCGATCGTTTACGAAACGGTTATGATTATAGGGCCCTTAGCCTTTCGTGCTCATCAAAATGAATCTGAGTTACCCTAAAGGGCCGCTTGGTAATTCCTCCAGATTAGAGATCTTTTGCTCCAGCTCACCCCAGATGAAATCCATCTGGGACTCGACACAAAAAACTTCCCTTCAGCTTGCAGTCGTCGTCGCAACTGTCGCTTGTCCATTCACTGTCCTTTTAAACATCGTAGTGATTACAACGATAAAAAAAGTTAGACAATTACAAACAAACTCCAACATTTTGATCGCAAGTTTGGCCGCGGCAGGTCTTTTGGTTGGCGCAGTTTGTATGCCACTGACAATCAGTTTAGATACACTGATTCTTCGAGGATATGCATCAGAAAACGTCATCTGCACGAGAGTCCTCGTTGCTATGGTGGTGCTGTACACTGCTTGGAGTGCTTCATTTTATCATCTAGTAATAATCTCTTGGGAGAGGTATTTGGCAATAGTAAAGAGGGTTGAATATAAAATTATAATAACAAAATCGCGCGTAAAAAAATATGCAGGAATTGCTTGGGTGATTGCGTTTATGACGATTGCCTTATTTTTTGCATTGGCCGCTGCTGGTATCCATTATGAGGTCCTACTTTTCCTAGATGGCATTTTCGGTCTTGGTTGGCTAACTGGAATATCAATAATGGTGAACTTTTATCGCAAAGTATATTTAGAACTGCGAAAACAAAAGCGATGTCAAACAAGCCAGGTGAGTTTCCTGGTCAAAGCCAGAATAGAAAGGAAAATTGCCCACACAGCGTGCCTGCTGACAATTACTGTTTTCATTTCTATCGTGCCTTTAATGGTTGTCTTTATCACGGCCCCCTTTTTACCATTTTTTCGTAGTTACACGGTTTTTCGGTGGGCAGAGATCTTCCTTCAGATAAACTCTCTCGTAAATCCTGTGCTCTATTTTCATAAAAACAAACGTTATAGAAAATTTGCTCTTCAGCTGTTTGCATTCTCAACAAAGGAGAAAATCGAGTCAGAAGTTGACATTGGACGTCCTGCCACGCAGCACCGTGGTGTTGAAGAGCCCGCAGAACACAAAAATGCCCTACCTTCAAGACGTTCACTTTCTTGTCCGGAAGTGATATATATACGCGAAAACACAAGACTGAGAGTGTCACAAGTCACACCGATGGAAAGAAGAATGTCATTGCCATCTTTTCAAGAAGATGCACAGCTACACAATGCCTTGCAACCCATCCCTTTGACTGTCACAGTGCAAATTGAACATA